ATCTTTGAAGTGCCCAAGGACTGAAGGAAAGCAACTTCCTAACTTCAAAAAAAGTGATCTATGGCATGTACTCCGATGGCATGTACTCTGATGGTCTGGAATCCCCATTTCCAGCAAGGAAAAGACGTTTCTGCCCTTTCAGGCTACAGTAGCATAGCCTAAACCTGAGCAGAGCAAGAACTTACAGTGACATTTCTCTACCAACCTCAATCATTTAATCGCGGGTTGGCTTAGCGCGTGGATTGGGCCAAAAATACAAGCAAGGTTCATTGGCTGGGAGCTGGCAGGGGTAAAGAGAGTCACTACGAAAAACACACAGCAGGCAAAGAAAAGCAGAAGAAAAACGAGGACACAAATAGCGATGAGCTGATAAGGTGGTACTCTGAAAACCAAACAGGAACTTACTAAAAATGAATGTGACAGAAATAAAGAATTATTCAATTTTTATTTACTATCAAAAGACAATTTCCTCCCCTTTATCTCAAACTTCCTACAGATAACAACAGTCATTCAGCATGATCTGCAGAAAGTACTTAATTCTGAATTTACGCTCCAGGCCACAGGTCACGATGAAACACAGAACTGTTTTTTTTCTTCCTTCCTGCAAGTTCGACACCCTCAGCAGAGGAGATGCTCAGGCACCAGGAAGAAAAGGGAAGCAGAGGGAAAAATGAAATGCCTTGTGACCTCCTCAGCCGTTCCCACAGCGCTGTGAGGGGGTGAGCGGGACAGACCCGCAGGTGTGACCCCGCTATGTGAAGGGTGCCTTCATGAAACGCCCACTCACAACTGAGGGGGCAGCTTGGCAATTTCAGCCACCGGGCTCCATAATTCCGACATAAAGAAGATGAATACGCCTCAGCCTATTGAACACAAAGACTGGATGATCTTTTCTGGGGGGAAAAAGCCAGCCCAGTTTTGTAGGTGACTCCCGCTCTGCCCACCAGCAGGCATTAACACATTAATTTACTGCGTGCAAAGACACGAGGGGCTGGTTCACATGAATTTCATTTCCAGTTGTTGCTTAGTTTGCAAAGGGCACCGCTAAATCACGGAATCACAGAATTGTTGGGGTTGGAAGGAACCTCTAGAGATCATCTAGTCCAACTCCCCTGCCAAAGCAGGATCGCCCAGAGCACATCACTCAGGACTGCAACAAGGCAGGTCTTGAGGATCTCCAGAGAAGAGGACTCCATGGCCTCCCTGGGCAGCCTGTTCCAGGGCTCTGTCACCCTCACCCTAAAGAAGTTCTTCCTCATATTTGAGTGGAGCTTCCTATGTTCCAGCTTGAGCCTGTTGCCCCTCGTCCTATCGCTGGAAACCACTGAAAAGGGTCCGGCTCCATCACCCTTCAACCCACCCTTTAGGTACTTGTAAACACAGATGAGGTCTCCCCTCACTCTTCTCTTCTCCAGGCTAAAGAGCCCCAGCTCTTTGAGGCTTTCCTCGTAAGGGAGGTGCTCTAAGCCCTTAATCATCTTGGTTGCCCTATGTTGGACTCTCTCCAGTAGTTCCCTGTCTCTCTTGAACTGGGGAGCCCAGAACTGGACACAATATTCCAGTTGTGGCCTCACCAGTGCAGAGTAGAGGGGGAGAATGACCTCCCTCGACCTGCTGGCCACACTCTTCCCTCCGCAGCCCGGGAGTCCACTGGCCCTCTGGGCAACAAGGGCACATTGGGATTCCATTGACCCTCTGGGCAACAAGGGGACATTGCTGGCTCATGGAGAGCCTGCCATCCACCAGGACTCCCAGATCCTTCTCCTCAGGAGTGCTTTCCAGCAGGTCCACCCCTATCCTGTACTGGTGTCTGGGGTTCTTCCTCCCCAGGTGCAGGACCCTACATTTGCCCTAATGCTGATGTCCGCGGAGCATCTTCTGTTGTGTGAAAAACTACAAAAACGATGAGTTTGACACCCGTGTCTTTCCCGGGCCTCCCCTCCGGACTGAAACTCCCCTCTTTTTGCGCATCCTTGGAAGTGCTCTTCCCGTCCCGTTCTGCCGACAGCACCCCCCGACAGGGCACAGCGTTTCTCCGGGAAGTCCCGGACACGACACCCCCCGCCCCCGGCCGCAGCCTG